ACGGTCTCATAAAATTAGGTCGTCTCACATGAACATATGTCTATATATATATATATATATATATATATATATATATATATATATATATATATATATATATATATATATATATATATATATATATATATATATATATAGGCTTAGGTAATTCTATTATAACTGATTATTGTGTGGATGTAGGAATAACTGTGGGCCAATCATTTTATTTATTTTAAGAAATTAGTTAATACATATTATTGAATTAAATATAATTGAAAAATACATCTAATTTAATTACAAGGGTATTTTAATCAATTAATATAGATTTAATGAAGGAAAATTGCATATTTTAAGGGATCTTAGATTCTATTAATTTTATAAATCAAATTTTACGAATTATAATTCTTTTAATTCGGACATTCTAACAGAATATGTTTATAAATATATTCAAAAAAAATTCTTGAACCTATTTTTTGATCATGACTTTAAAACCATCTTGTAGAATAAAAAATTCTTGAACCATCAATTAAAGAATAAAACCAAAAATTACATTAATTTTTAATTTTATAGAATACGGGTAGTAATTGCTAAGCAGTACATTTATTTTTAAAAATTAAAACTAAAAAAACTTTCAAATCAGAAAAAACATCTAAATCTAACAAAGACACTAATACATTCTAAAAGAATAATGTTGCTAATAATCACTTTCAATTTTGTGGTCCGTTCTTCAAGCATCAACTTCTGTGAAAACAAATTCAATTGTAGTTTAGAATCCAATAATACATTAGCAAATAAAAACTTGGAATTCAAGATTCTATTATGACAGAATCGGAATTCAAGATTCCATTCCAGTAGAATGTTGTAAGATTCATATGTACCATGTTTTGCTTCGATATCTCTCATTTCGTTCCCAGCCTAGAAAACAAGAGCATTCTCGTTCTTGTTCTTGATTTCAGGTATACCTGCAAAAGAGAAATACAACCACTCATTGTTATTGCTTCATCTTCTTTCCATGATGATTTCAAGCAACAAACACCACATTGAATTCTGTCAAGCAAAACAAACAATTTCCTATAAAACATTAACCCTAGAAATCCATTTTATCCATTTTTATCAAGAACAATCAAACCCAAAACCCATCAACACTCCAGTGATTTTTTGTCAAAACATAGAAAAGAAAAACAAAATCAAAATCAAACAAACACCCCCTTGATCGACCCTTTTGCTTGTTCCATCATCATAATGGGGATTCCAAATCACAAAATAATAATAATGATGATGATGATGATGATGATGATGATGATGATAATAATAATAATAATAATAAAAGAGCAAGAAGGTTACATGTGTTGACCTCGTTCAATTCTTGTGGAAGAATCACTACCTAAAATCCCCTACCACTGAACACCTCTTCTCCGTAATCTCTTAGGCAGCATTGAATCATCAGTCCACAAGGTCGTTGCTTTCTTTTCGCCCTTCGCATATCACCATTAGAGCAAGAAGAGGGCTTTACGGATTCTTCCCACCTTCACTGCTTCGGCCTCGACAATTTCGGAGACAACCTCCTCGCGAATTGATCGAACAAATGCGACCCTTTACACCCCTTATGTCGCCTCCTCTATCGCCTCCTGTCTTGCCTTCGACCTTGTGATCTTCACCATCGGACTGCCTCTCTGCCAACGACGTGCAGAAACGAGCGTCTCATGTGTCGGACGGGATGTTTCCTTCACCGATTGCTGCCATTGCCGAAAGATTCCTCACTGTGTACAATTGCTGAACAAAAGGGGGAGACGGCGGTGGGGGCTGGTGGAACATGGCTGATGGTTTCTTTTGCCAAATATTAAAGGGTACGCTCAATGCTAGGGCAAGGTTGAAAAAGATTAAGTATTAATTAAACACTTATTTAGTTACCAAAATTAAATAATAGGTAAGATTATATTAATACCTTTTTAAGAATGATTGGTTGATATTAAATCCTACAACCACACAATAATTACTTTGAATACCTGAACCTATCTCTCTCTCTCTCTCCCTCTCTCTTTCTCTCTAGATATATATATATATATATATATATATATATATATATATATAGGGTGGGGTTCAATAACGAACCATAATTAATCAATGAACCAATCTTTTTTTCAATTTTTAGAACTTATTTTTTATCAAAAAAAAATACATAAATTCTTAAGTTTTTATCCTTTTTCCAATGATATCAAATTCGATAATTTTTTTCGTCAAATTCACAATGTGAATCTAAATTCCTAAGGTGAATCTGAAAAATATGTTTAACATTCACAATGTTAAGTTATGAATTTAGATATTTTTAGTTTTTTTTTTTCGATAAAGAATAAGCTCTAGAACTTGAAATAAATATTTGGTTCTTTAAAGAACTAATAATTATGGTTCTCTATTGAACTTTTCCATATATATATATATATATATATATATATATATATATATATATATATATATATATATATATATATATATATATATATATATAGTAACATCCCGAGTCCAGGAGTTTAAGTTCGGGGTTCAAAGTGTAAATCTGAAGGGCAACTCGGCGAGTCCATGGGAGGACTCGGCGAGTAGGGTCGTGACTCAGGTCGCGTGTTAAGTGGCCAACTCGGCGAGTCCAAGGCTGGACTCGGCGAGTAGGCGCTGTGTGAAGAAAACCCTAAATTCGGGGGATGAGCCCTATATAAAGGACATTATACCCTCTCCCCAGCCTCTTTGCTCTCCCTTGAAGTCCAAAAACCCTAGATATGTGTTTGTGAGGGTTTTGAGAGCATTTTGATCATTTGAAAGAAAGTTGGAGGAAGATCTTGGAGAGTTAGGAGGCTTGGAGCAGGGGCTTTGCTTAGATTCGGATTCCTTGCTGTTGGTGGCTTCATTTTGAGGTAATATGTCGTTCTTGGGTTGTATTCTTCTAGATTCATCATTTTTGGGTTGTGTGGGAAGCTTAGCTTGTGGTATCTTGAGTTTGAGGGATAGATCTGAGGTTGCTACCTCAGATCTGAAGTGGAGGAGGTCTAGAGTGCATTAAAGTCTCTGTTATTGAATGATTGGTGAAACCATCTTGTCCCAAACCCTAGCCCTAGAGTGTAAAATGCCTAGATCTCTTTGGATTCATGTAAAGTTTGCCACTTTACGTGATGGAATGGGTGTAGAAGGGTAGATCTACGTTTTGGATCAATTACATGGCCTGGAAGGCTTCTGTATGGGTTAAGAACAAGTGGTACTCAGCGAGTCACAAGGATGTACTCGGCGAGTTGCTTGAAGGCGGGCAGGAACTCGACGAGTTTGAAGAACAACTCGGCGAGTTGGTTGAAGATAGCCTTGGACTCGGCGAGTCTGTTCATGGACTCGACGAGTCTGTTCTTGAGGTCTTAGCCTTTCCTGGTTAAGCTAAGAATCGATGAGTCAAGGGATGACTCAGTGAGTTGGAAGGGGGTCCTTTTCAGTATTGGGGGACTCGGCGAGTAGAGTCAGCCAGAAGGTTGACTTTGACTTTGACTTTGACCAAGAGTTGACCAGTTGACTTCCAGGGGTATTTTGGTAATTATTGGTATTTATTGAGTTCAGTCTTTTGGTATTATCAGTGGTGGAGTTCGTGTTGGAGGTTGGAGCAGCGTGATCTATCTTTTCAGTCAGCAGTTGCGAGGTGAGTTATCCTCACTATATCAACAGGGTCTAAGGCACCAAGGCCGACCCTTTATCGGATTGTAATCCGGGTATTGTTGTTATATTGCTGTTTTGCTATGTTTGCATCCTGGTAGTTAGGATGGTATTCGTTAGAGACATGGTTAAGGTCGGTGTCCTGGTATATAGGGTGATGTTATGCTAGTGACCGGTTAGGTCGGTATCCTGGTTAGGATGATGTAATGTTATGTGATCTGCTAGATTGGTTGATTGATGATTAATTGTTATATGATTATATGTTTATGTGCACATAGTTGGTTGACTGGGGTTGGGTTGAGACGGGTCCTGCTTTGTGCTGTAGGCCAAAATACCCAGGGCGGACCGGATATTCCAAAGGCCCAGCGAGCGGTCCGGATAGGCTGTAGGCCCCACAAGGGTGGACCAGACGTACCAAGGCTCGGAGAGTGGACCAGGCCGACTGAAGGCCCGATGCGGGCGGACCAGTCATACTGTAGACTCAGAGAGTGGACCAGGTGGGTTGAAGGCCCGGTGCGGGCGGACCAACCATACTGCAGACTCGAGGGACATGACTAGACTCAGAGGGTGGACCAGGTGGACTGAAGGCCCGACACGGCAGACCAGTCACACAGAAGACCCGATATGCATGGTTGTTATGTGATTCGATATGATATAGCATGTTATGTATGTGGTATATGTGGTTGGTATTTTGGGGGTATCTCACTAAGCTTTCAGGCTTACAGTTGTGGTTTAATGTTTTTCAGGAGACCATGGCAAGGCAAAGGCGTGATCTTACCACTCCTCGTGTTTATGTTTTATGATATGGACCTGGGAATACTCTGACAATAAATGTATTGCAAACCTTTTTGTATTAACATGATTAAAATGGGTTGTTTTTGTAAAGTTAAATTTTGTTGAAAATTTTGGTTGTTACATATATATATATATATATATATATATATATATATATATATATATATATATATATATATGTTACTTTAGGGAAAACTACAATAAAGTCCCTATGAATTGCCCGTATAATCGATTTAGCTCCTATATATATATATATATATATATATATATATATATATATATATATATATATATATATATATATATTTACAATTTAGTCATAAATACCGGTAAACGTAATCAAGACGGGATATTTAATAGGTTAGTCGGTATCCCACCGGTACTATGTGCATGTGGCACCTTACATGTACAAGAGAGCCTTACCCTTCCATTTCCACTTCATTCGACATATGGTAAATCAATTGAGAGAAAAAGTTAGGGTTTTTACAGAGTGAAACATGAAGGAAGTAGGATTTTACTGAGAGAAATGAATGTAAAACCCAATGGCTGTCAAATTAGAGGATGTTCACCATGAGCCGTCTGAAGAATACGACTCTGAAGAATACGAAGATGATGAGGAGGTGCTCGGTACTGAGCACATAGATGTGGAAATGGAAGAATATGATTTCAAGACACATGGTAAAGAGAGATGCAAGGATGCTTTCCTTAACTTCAGTTCCGATTATGAAGATAATGAAGCTGATGAAGACAATGACTTAGTTGATGAAGATGAAGAAGGGTTTGGTTCAAAAGAGGAAATCGATGACACAACAGGGGCTAATGATCTTGATTTGGGAGATGCGGTTGGTGCAGGCTTCCCCATTCATGACCCATCAGTTAAGTGGAATAAGATGAATCCCCTTCTTAATGAAAGGTATGAATCACCACATCAGTTGCAACAATGTCTCACTAATTATGCTATTAAGTCAGGGTATAACATTAAATTTGTGAAGTTTGATGCTGTGAGATTAACTGCCAAATGTGGTTCTAAGATAAAGTCTCAACCCTGTCCATTCAGAGTTCATGCTTCCTGGATAACTCAAGAACGGTCTTTTCAGATTAAAACCTTAGTCAATGAGCACAAATGTGTTAGAAATTTCAATATTTAAAATTAACTGAGTCCCGATGACTAGCAAGACAATTTTTGAAGGAAGTTGATAATGAAACCTAACTTAAAGTGTAAGGAGATGCAATCAATAATTAGGACCAAATTTCTTTGTGGTGTGTCTTGGTCTAAGGCTTACAGAACAAGGTGTAGAGCAATGACCATTATAGATAGTAAACTCACAAAACATTATGCTAGGGTGTGGGACTATTGTCATGAGTTACTAAGGTCAAATCCTGGTAGCACTGTCCAAGTGGGTATCACTGTAAATCCAGATCAAACAACATACTTTCACAGGATGTATTTGTGTTTTAAAACAATCAGGGAAGGTTGGAAAATAGGGTGTCGTAAGGTAATTGGTCTAGATGGATCTTTCTTGAAAGGGACATGTAAAGGACAATTACTCACAACAATAGGGAGGGATGCAAACAACCAAGTTTATCCAATTGCTTGGGCAGTTGTTGACATTGAAAACAAAGCTAATTGGAAATAGTTTTTAGAACTGCTCATAGAGGATCTTAATCTGCTAGATGGAGGAGGGTTTATTGTAATTTCTGATCAACATAAGGTTTGTAATTTCTTAGCATATTTATGATTTTTCCTTACCATCATCTTATATGTTTATGTATTCATTGCATTGTAGGGATTGCATGAAGCAATCACGGAAGTACTATCAAATGTGGAGCATAGACAGTGTGCAAGACACATATATGCTAACTTTAAGAAGACCTATTCTGGAGTGGAGTTCAAGAATATGTTCTGGGCAGCTTCCTTTTCAACTGTAGAGAGAATTTCTGAGGAAATTGGATGGTATAAAAGAGGTTAATCCCAATGCTTATGAACATTTTCTTGCAAGACATCCTCACACATGGTGCATGGCATTTTTTAGGACTGATGTAGCATGTGAGACAGTTGAAAATGGCATTGCAGAGTGCTTCAACGCCATCATATTGGATGCTAGAAAGAAACCCCTTCTAGCAATGCTTGAAGAAATTAGGTTGCACATGATGGATAGGTTCTACCATATGTTACAAAAGGCAGAAAAGTGGGAATTAGTGGTTTGTCCAACTGCCATCAAGAAAATGAACAAGTTTGGAGAGGATTTGAGGTTTGTATTAGCATTTTTATTGTTCTTTATCAGTATTATTCTAATTTCATTGTTCTGATTTCATTTAGTAATGTCATTGTAGGAATTGGAATGTGAATCTAAGTGGACCATCTATTGTTGAAGCCAGGAATGGATTAGAAGGGTACGTGGTTGACTTACAAAGCAAAGTGTGCAGATGTAGGCTTTGGGATATCTCAGGAATTCTATGTGTACATGCACAATGTGCAATATTATTCACTAGACAAGATCCTGTTCAATTCATAAGTGAGTGGTTTAATGTGGACAAGTTCAAGGCCATATATGCAAACAATATACTACCTGTGAATGGTAGAAATTTATGGCCTAGAACATCATACATAAATCCTCTACCCCCTTTAGCTAGAACAAATGCTAGGAAGACCAATTCTAAAAAGAAAGAGGCATGTCACTGAATCTCAAGATAAATACCGCCAAAATAAGATGAAGGTTATTGGAGTAGGAAGGACAGTCTAGTGTAAAAACTGTCTTCAAAGGGGTCATAACAAGGCATCCTATAAGAATCCCAAGGTCACACCAGAGCCCAAACCCAAGAAAAAATGGGTAGACCAAGATTGGATCCTGATATCAGTCATTAGACTAGATGTGGTGTAAGAGGTGGTGTCAGAGGTAGTAGAGGTGGTGCAAGGGGTAGTAGAGGTGGTACATGGAGTAAGAGAGGTGGTGCACTGGGTAACACAGGTGGTAAAGGTAGTAAAAGAGGTGGTAGGGTCAGTAAGACATCTGTTGGAATTGAAGGTGGTGGAGTTGCTGAAGTTGAAGGTGGTGGAGTTGAAAATGAGGATGACAATATTCTTGAAAAATATTTAGTCCATTTATGGAAGGCAATGCAAGATTTGAAATTATCAGGGTATTCAATTGAAGAAATTAAAAATACACTTAGTCTGACATATTCACATATGAAACATCTAAATGATTACAATGACACTATTGAACAAGTTCTTCCTATGTCTATGGTAAACCATCTATATTATCTTAATGTTAACATTCATTTATGTTATTAATTGCTTGATGTTTTACAGGAAGAGGAGTATCCACCTCAAACTGAGACACAAGATGGGGCTGAAGAAATTATCCCTGAGACACAACTAGAAAGTAAATAAGAAGAAGAAGAAGGAGAAGAAGAAGAAGAAGAAGAAGAAGAAAAAGAAGAAGAAGGCATTAATGACACCCATGAATTACTAGTACACCTTAGGATTGTGAAAAGAAAAAAGGTCCTCTGAGAGGATTGTTAAAACTAAACCGAAGAATATGGGATGTGTTGCGACTTTTGCAAATTCAGCATTAGAGTTGGATTAGGTTGTTAGGGTGTTAAGGGTAGTAAGGGTATTTTGGTACATCTTTTTTGAATGCTACTTTTGTGCATCTTTTGTGAATGCTACTTTTGTACATCTTTTGTGAATCCCTTTAAATTACTGATAACCATATTTTGTACATCTTTTGTAAACACATTGAAACATTGTGAATGCCCTTAACATGGTTGGTAATGACATATTGGAGTTTATTGTTTAATTATTTTAGCCACAAGTGTGCAAACTTCATAGTTATATTTGACAATTGTACACCATTTATGCAAACCATAATAACATATTGCCATTTCATTAACCATAACATTACATGATCCACAAGAACATTTATCCATTACATCATGATTACAAACCAAAAGATTACATCATCCCTACCATACCATAATACCCTACAACTTACACTAAACTAACCATACATCATCCTTACAATGAAACAAACGAAATAAACCATCATCCACTTGAAGAATCCAAATTCATTACCAGGCACATGTGTATTCTCACACATTGCAATTTGATTATTAGGTTCAAGAGAATTCACAGGGGCAATAGGGACATCAACATTCATAGGGGCTATAGGGCCATCAACAAGTATTTTAACTTCATTAATAGGGTTATTGAAAGGAATAACTACACCCCCATTAGCAATAACTCCTAATTCATACATTCTTTCTTTATACCACTTATTCAATAGTGGTGGGTCAATCCCACGAAAATACCCAAAGTCCTTATCTTTATCCTACATAACATAGAAAGATGCATGTTTTAAAATAGAAGAATGGTAATTTAGTGAAATAGAAGAATGTGAGTGAGATTTGAAGATTCTATACCATGTAATTTGGGCAATCAAAAAACCTCTAACCTGGATTCTTTCGAGTCCATGATGTCCACATTCCATCCCTATCTTCACAATAGCACATTCTGATGCTGGTGCTTGATGAACTCGACATCGATTTCCTGTTTCCAGTTTGTCGTAATCGTTCGCTCCTTTGATTGTCGAATAAAGAAGAAGAGCCCGCTTCATTGATTTATGGCACACCCTCGTACTAGACGACGGAAATGTCCAAGGGCTCGTGTGACTATCAATTGAAATATCATCACAATGAATATACATGAAACATCACATGACCATCACCATGCATTACATATTACAACTGATATTGTTCACATACTAATAAAATTCCCAAAATACTCTCGACGATTCTTCAGCTTAACAATTTCCTGAGAATATAAGTTATTTTGAAAATGGTCAACATATATAATGTTAGTGAGTTCATAAGAACGTTTGACTGAAAGATTTTTGTAATGTTTGTATAACCCAAAAAATCCGATATTTTCTGTAAATTGTATAAAAATGATGAAATGACCCAATATAAACGTATGTGTGATTACTATTGTAACAACATGTATGAGTAAGCAATTCAAAAAATTTCCTGTATTGTATTAGTTGCAATTAGAAGGTAATGAATAATAGTATTTCCTTAGAAAATCTGATATTTTCTTATTTATAAAAGTGTTGTAGTCCCTGTATTACCGTATGAACTATGTTCGTATTATTATGATTTAAACAATTTGATTCACGTAATGTATCGATGGTAATGGATCTCTATATGAGTCGTTATAACCATGCATAATAATGACTAATTTGCCTGTCTTGGAATTTTCCAACACCGGTTTTGATCAAGATTTTGTCACCCTAGACTGGCCTAGTCTAACTGTAGCGAACAACTCAGGTGTGGGGGAGTCACCCCCGTATAGATCTATACACAAACTCTCGCTCTCCCTCCAGGAGACTCTGATTATAACTACAGGCTACGTCCAAACACTCAATGGTGTCAACCGACAATTCTCACTAGATCCCAATGATTGTCACATGAACATGTTTAATGTTAAACGTATTTTGATTTATAAAAACCTGATGATACTTGAATGTGAAAAGACACGGCCCAACAAACATGAAAAAGGATAGTTATGGCCCATTAGACATGTAAGTTATTTCTAGGCTTGATAGTATGCAAGTGGACACGTTGAAGCCCATTATGCGTATGATGAATCTCTCCAGGCTAAATTAGCATATAAATTGTAACGCCCTATTTGAAATTACTCGGCCATGGCCTCGGAAACCAGGGGGTAGGGGAGATTCGCTCTTTTATGGGTCCCAGGATTTATTCGAAAGGTTTTAGGCTTGGAGGTGTCTAGGGGGTGTAGGGATTTCCGCCACCTTCTCGTAGATATAAAGTTTGTCGGAAACAAACCTGGAATAAAGGAGTTATGACACTTAGTATTTATTGTCGATTTTAGCCCCTAATGGAAATTAGTGACAAGATGATCTCATGCATGCAAGGTGGCCAGCTCGAGAGTACGCCTAGCGTAAGTTGGGGGTACGCTTGGTGTAGATGGAGAAATGGTCACGGATGATTAGAGACGTACACCCATAGTCACTAAAACCTAAATTTTAGGATGTGATGCTATATAAAGAACATTACACCCTCTAGAGTCAGTCTCCTTCTCATCCTTAAACCCCTCTTCGAAACCCTAACCCTTATAGTGAGAGTGTAAGCTTGTAAGGCCATCTTGGAGTGCATTTTGGTGAACTTGAAGAAGAGTGATCATCTTGGGGTTTCATTGATCAAGGAAAGGCTTTTGGTTCCAGGTTCTCCAGCTCATTTGTAAGTCTCAGAAGGTATAAAGTCTCTACATTGTCATTTTATAGATTGAGATCTAGATTAGGGCTTGTTTGGTGTTTTTATGAGCTTTTGGACTATCTATTGGGACTTGGGCAACTCCAGAGCTTAGGGAGAGTAGATATGAGGTCCTCTGGTCTATCCACTTCACAAAACTGCAATCTTGATGAGTATCCTAACCTCGTGCGTGGATCAAGACCCTTGGAAAGGTCTTAATGGGTTTTTCAGAGCATATGGAGCGTGCAAAGGCATATAGTTGCCAACTTTATGCCTTAGGACGTCTTAATGGACCTAGATATGAAGTTTGATGTTGGAAATCCCGAGTATTAAGCACTTATTGGAAAAGTAGCTTAACAGAGGAGTACGCTGGGCGTACATGCAAGTACGCGTCGCGACACCACTTCCAGTCAGTACGCTTAGCATACATAAGAGTACGCCCCGTGTACTCATCAGTTTTGGGCCTTGGGTTGGGCCAAGCAATGGACTTTGGGTCTCTGGGCTTCAGTGGGCCATCAGGAGTTAGATGTTTTGGGCTAGAAATATGTTTGGGCTTAGGGTAAGACCCATTAAAGTGATTGGGCCCAATTGAGCAAGTTGGGCCATTGGTGGACCGCTAGTGGGCTTGGAAAGCCTACTTAGTGTTGGGTTTTATTTAGAGGATTGGGCCTTAGTTTTGGATCATAATGGGCTAGGGATAAAATGGTCATTTTACCCCCATGCATGGATTCAAGGTTATAGAATGGGCCCCAGTTGCTAATTGGGTATATTGTTTCGGTATTGATGGTCAGGAAGTGGTCAGGGAAACAGCTAAGGATTACTTCAGGAAGCTTTTGCATTCGAGGTGAGTTCTCTCACCATACTAATGGGTCTAAGGTACCAAGGTCGGCCCATTTTATGATAGTTGGTATACTTGTTGTGTAGAGGTGTATGGAACTGTTATGCATTGATATGTGGTAGAGATAACTTTTACAACTAACGGTAGAGATAGCCTGTATGGCTAATGGTAGAAATAGCTTGTATGGCTAATGGTAGAGATAGCCTGTATGGCTAAGGGTAGAGATAACCTTGTGGATAATGGTAGAGATAGCCTTATAGCTAATTGATATGTGTTATGTAGTAGAGGTAGCTTTATAGCTGATTGATATGTGTATGTGGTAGATATAGCTTTTATAGCTAGCATGTTATGTGGTTTGTGTGTGGGGTATGCTCTGGGGAACTTACTAAGCTTCGAGCTTACAGGTTTGTTTATGGTTTCAGGTACTTCAGATTCCACGGGCAAGGCGTGATGGTGCGGCGTGCACTCTCTCACATACTTTTTGGGACACTCTGATGTTTGGAATAAAAGTTGTATCTGACTTATGTTTGAAACAATTATAACTAGATTTCATAACGTATGACATCATGTTTGCTTATTCTAAAATGAAAATTTTACCTTGAAATTGGGTCGTTACATAAATGGGCCACTAAGGCCCAATAACATGTAAAACTAAATTAGGCCCATTGAGCATGTAATAGAGTCACTAAGGCCCAATAGACATGAAATGAATATATTGGGCCCAATAAACATGCAAATGGATCACGAAGGCCCAATAAGCATGTATAGCACGTACTAGGCCCAATATTCGAACCATTGTTCTATTTTTGTACATTTGTTGTGGTATAGCTTTTTCTAGACGAAGTATTAATTCGTGATGTTATAAAATATCCAATGTTTGATTTATAATGATATTTTTAGTTTATATATATATATATATATATATATATATATATATATATATATATATATATATATATATGGGAAAAATGAATATACCCTCAAGGGTATATATATATATATATATATATATATATATATATATATATATATATATATATATATATATATATATATATATGGGAAAAGTGAATATACCCTCAAGGGTATATAAGGCTAGGTACCCTTAACCACAAAACTACGTAGTTTTGAATAGATTTAATTTTCTGGAAAAAAAAAAAACAATTTCCTTAAAAAGTTAGTTTCCTTAGTATGATTCCTTGAACCGTAATTTCTTCCATGATCAATCGCATACGAGCTAAATCAAAATCGACCTCATACAAATCGGTATTAGAAATCGGAATTAACCTAGCTATAATCGACGATCGCATAAGGCTACTGTAAAATCATTTTTTGTCATTAGGAAATCAATTTTATTGAATCAGTTTTCTGTTGCGATTGCACTTACATGTCCAAGCAGGTGCGTTAATTTGGAATTGAATATAACAAGAAATCCACCTTCTTCAAATACTACAAATCATCTAATACGGCTACAATAAAATCGTTTTTTGTCATTCAGAATTCAATTTTATTGAATCGATTACTTGTTGCTGTTGCACTTACGTGTCCAAGCATATGAATTAATTCTAAATTGAATACAACTGAAAATCAAAATTCTTCAATGGTTCTATGCATGTATTTAATGTATATGTCCAACAAACCCTTATATAATACGTAGCAATTATCACCTGCAAGCAA